GTCCTACAGTCAGAGCCTGAGTTACTCATCGGAAAAAGCAGCTCAATTCAGGCAGGTGCTAGGCACCCAGTGGGTTTGCAATCTGAGGATCATAGGTCGTCTGCCTCTGCTGGCTGAGCTCATGCTTGGGTAACACCTACTCTCTGCCTAGCAAGCTTGGAAAGTACTTATTTCCCCCTTCTCTATGCCCTAGTATGTTTATCAGTTACTCAATAGGTGGTAACAGAGCCAAACAAACTCGGGAAATGGCCTCCAGTTGTACCAGAGGAGGCTCAGGTTGGATGTTAGGAAAAAGTCTATGTGGAAATAGTAGTCAAGCATTGGAACAGGCTGCCCATGGAAGTGGTGGTGTAACCACCCCTGGCAGTGTTAAAGAAAAGTGTAGATGAGGCACTCAGGGACATGGGTTAGCAGGTAGGGTGTTGAAGGACTGGTTGACTCGATGACCTTGAAGGTCTTTTCCAATCATAATGATTCTATGATTTTATCCTAGTCCAGAGACTGAGGCCAGACTGTTTGGGTCACAGCTCAAAGGGTTGTGGACTGCAGGGCATCCCAAAAGTTTGGGCAAGGTCAGAGCTACACAATTCTGGGAAGCTTTCCTCAAAGCCCATCCTGCTCCATAGCACAGCCGGAAGGGAAAGCACAGGAGCTGAGGGGGGCAAATAGGACTTAGCAAACACATAATTAATGCACTAATCAAGTGAATCAGCGACACATCTCACATTCCCTGTACCTCTCCAACCCTACAGAGAAGAAAGTTATCACATTTCTGAATAATGAGTTCACAAAATTATTTCTGCTGGTTTTATAGAAATGGCATATTTTCTTCTGAGAAAAAAAATCTGCTATCAATAAATGGTGATTTGCAAACAAAATATTCTTCAAAGCTACTGCAAAGCAAAGATAGTGTCACTGAAGAAACAATTCAATTAGAAAAGAGAGTATTACTCTACAATAAGGCACATGAATAGCCATTTGAGGTATTTGCTCAGGTACTCTAACTGGATGAGCAAAAGATTTTATTTGAAGCAATTAATGGATCCAAGACCCCAGAGCAGCTGAAATCAGGACAAGTTAGGTTTTATCCCCAGAGGAGCTGAAATCAGGACAAGTCAGGTTTTATAGAAGGATCTAGGTTTAACCACACATGGAGAGAACAAGTCAGTAGTTCCTCCATCTAGTTCTTGCATTTAAACCCTCAGACAGAAACTCCACCCACATAGCTCCCCCAGCCAGATACAACCACACCAGCCGAACATATCCCTGGGTCATGGCACAGTTGCCAGCTACTGAATGCTCATTAATGCTTTAATTAAGTCTCATGCAAACAGCATGTGCTCCCTAAGAACTTACCAAAAAGCAACTTTCCTTAAGCCATAAGGAGAAATAAAAATTGTAGTAAGAAAGAGGTCAGATGCACCTTAAGATGACTGCCCCTAGTTTAAGGCTCCATTTATTGCTCTTGACCCACTAAAATGTAACCAAAGGGCTACTGTTCTCCAAATAAAAACGCCACAGTCTCACCCACAACATAGCTTATACATCCTCTATTTCTAGACTAAAGCTACTGTACTGCTTTTCTCTCTCCAGATCCCAAGATCTCCTCCTTAGCTTATAGGTATTACAGAGTAGGACCGATGGCCTCCAGAATGTCTGTTAAGAGCTTAATTTTCTAGCTCCAAGTATGGTATAACTTAGACGAACTTCCTGATGTGATAACATGGTGCCTTCCACTTTTCCGCAATACTGTGACCTTGGCAGAGGGAGAAGCAGGCAAAATCTGCTCAGCCTTCTGCTCATTGCCATGATATACCCAGTTTACACGTGTCAAACCCAATGTGTGTGGATGCAGGCTTTCTGATGGGGAGAGCGATGAAAACTCACTCAGTGTTCTAAAGGGCCACACTAAGGGCAGCACAGCCATGGTCTCTTCAAGCTTTGTAAGATAATCAAGCAGCATCTCCAATGCAACCTGGATAGAGCACCTCATTCTCCCTAGCAATGTTCAAGAATTGCTTGTAAGATAATCAAGCAGCATCTCCAACGCAACCTGGATAGAGCAATGTTCAAGAATTGAATAGATAAGACACTTAGGGACATGCTGAAGGTTTTATAGTTGAACTCAATGATCTTGAAGATCTTTTCCAACCATAAGGATTCTATGGTTCCAAGTCATGTCCACAAAGCTGAGAGTCAGCAGAACTGCTTTAAAGCTTTCACACAATGTCATTCACCCTCTAGTGGCTGGTTTTTGCTGTACATCCAGAGCTCCCACTTGTACACACAACTGGGTAACCTCCAGACAGCCCAGCCCAAGACTGGATGCTGAATTCAGGGGTCTCTTCCAATGCCAAGTCTGTGAAACCAGGGCTATTGCAACCTGGCAAGTCAAGGACATTTGAATTCGGGGTGGTGTTGAGGGGTCACCCACTCCCATTCCCACTAAAGCAGGTTTGAGCCTCCTGGGAATGTCGGTGCTCACTTCCCAAGACACCTGCACCCAAATCAAGAGTCAGTGGCACAGGATAGTGCCTGAACAGCAGACACACATAGAAAACACACCTTTTGGGGCAAATGAAAACCTAGGCCAGAGCGCAAAATAACATAAAAGCCAGGGAATAGATGCCTGTGTGTCTTGCACAACTGTATCATTAGCGATGTCATGTCTGCCTCGAGTGCTGATGATAATTCCAATGAAAACAAGTTTATGTGCAGACAAAGCCCGTGGCTTTAAGTAAGCAAGATTTCAGTTTAAAGGCAACACTAGTCTGCGAGGCCATCTGACCAAATCAAAGGCTTTTTCATCTGTATTGCTTCAGATTTTCACAATTTCCCTCAGGTGTTGAATTTGATGGAAGTTTTGCCATGAGAAGGAGATGAATTCAGGTCCACTGATGCCAGCACCATTCACTGTGGTCAAGGCATGCTCTTTAAAGTGCTGCTCCTGTGTAGGACAAAGATCCTGCACTTGCCATCACCAAGAGGCATCCAAGCACACAAACTAGATTTCTTCCACAAGGAACTGAACCAGAAGACTTTTCCAGCTGCTACTAGGAAAACTCAAAGTTCACAGGGCCAGCTTATAGACAGTCAAAAATAAAGACCCCCAAAACACATATAGTCAAAATATCAGGTCCTCTTCAGTCCCACAGCTCCTGTCTGCACCACACTGACACCAGGAGGAAGGTAAACTGGATTCTTGATCTGAGATACAGAAATGGTCACTCGAAGCAAATGATGAGCTTAACTTTTTCAGCCATACACTCACTAGTCTGGAGAGTGATACCTACTGCTGCCCTCTACACAAGGCAAAATACTTCAGACTTTCTGATTTTGGTTCCTAAGATAGGCGCAAAGTTCACAGATGGAAAAGAATTATTGAGACTTCTACTTAACCCAATTCTGGGAACAAATAACATTAGGATTTACAAGCCTAAAATATTAGATTCCTAAATTACAACCAAATTCAGCAGTTTTCAGGAACCATCATGCCCTTTGGCAAAAACAAGGTTGAAGTGCTTTGGAAACTGTAAGTACAGTATCTTGCAAAGAGGCTCTTTGTCATGAAGTTTCCTGACTTTACTCACTCTTCATTCACAGAATTTCTTCTGGCAAAACACTCAGGTATACCTGTCATGGACCTCTACAGACAATGTTTCAGGGCATAAAATGAGATTTGTTGAACAGACTTATGGAACCAGCAGGATACTTGGTGCCCTATATAAAAACCAAGCCACCAAGGTTTTGTTATACTAGGGCTCACATTGTTGCACAGGAGAAGTTCCCTGACAGAAGACTTTAAGTGTCAGTTCTTCCCAAAACACACAAATGCAGAACATAAAGCTGTTTCAGATTCTTGTCCTTCATATTAGAATTGACTCTGCAATATCAGTTGACTCTTACTCAATTCAGACAGCTCTTTCATCATGACTGATCACTGAGGGGTGGTTGCCACCAGATCTTCTGATCAGAAGGACGCACAGAGCCTCTCTACTTTTGGCCTCATCTAGTCCAGCATGAGTTACCTGTCTGCTTGCCACAGTGGATCAGCTGCAGGCCTTGGCAGTGTGGCTGGCATCTCCTTTGCCGTTTATTTTATTTTTGGACCCAAAGGGAAAAGAAATGCTTGTGTCTTAGGTGATTTGAAGACAACACTTCTTCCTGTTGTCCAGATCAGCATCTGCACAAAGCACTGAAGAGGATCTGCGTACATACACATCCCCACCATCATAGATGTGTTCTGCTGTAAGGTGTTGGTGGGACTAAGCTTTTCCACCATTCTTGCAGTTCCACTGTGGATTGGGAAACATGGGGACACGGGCAGTTACTTCCTGCAAGAAGAGATATTTACATTGATTCCTGGGTTGGACTGAAGTTCTGTGCTGTCCTGAAGGAGCCAGTTCCCCCATTACTGTATTTCTACAATAGGCACAAGGTCAAGTTTTTAGGATGCAGCTGAAAATACACATGCTAACTTATAGAACACCATTAACAAGAACTGCAGGTTGGTCAGCTCATTTGTTTAGCAACAGCCCAGGTCAGATTGTTACAATCCTCCACACTGCACAAAAAGCCAACAAGACTTTTATTCAGAACCATACAACAGAACAAAACAGAAATTCAATCAAATATTATGATATGACAATAGACTGGCATGAAAGGAAAGTGTTTCCTGATCTCAAGCCCAGCAGTTGAGTCTGGGGCTTGATTCTTGCTCACCTACAGCAAGATGGAGCCTGGAGAGCACACAGCAAACAGATACTCCACATTTCAGTTACAACTTGTCTAAGACACTGGTGAAGGATCATGGCACTTGAGTGTTTTGCCTGGGTACAAAAGCAGTTGCCAAGACATTTGGTCACAGTGAAAAGGGGAAGCACAGAGCAGAGAGGCCAAGGTCACTGCCCCTTCAGCAGAGTACTTCCTGAACAAGCAGCTCCTGGTCATACAGCTAAAGTCCATTCTTCTCTGGCTGTAGGCCAAAGCAATTTCAAGTCCTAGACCACCCTGAGCTTGCTGGCACTTGCTACGTCACCACAAGCTAAGCCAGCAGGCAATTAGAGGGTAACCACAGAGCAGAATGTGTCAGAGGAATCGCCTTCACACGGACCGCAGAGCTGAACCCACTGCAGGCCTCAGATGTTCGTTTTGGAGGTGATCCAGTCTCGATAATAGGTCACTCGTGTGTACACTCCGGGTTTATTTCGCTTGGCACATTCGTCTCCCCAGCTCACTATTCCCACGAGATACCAGATTCCTCTGGAGTTTGCATGCACCAGGGGCCCACCAGAGTCACCCTAAGGAGAGAAATATCCACAGGCAAACAGCGAGCAATAGTGCAGCAAGCATCAAATCCTTATGTCCTGTTACAAGGGATAGGCATTTCTGGCTGCAAGCTACAGCTGTAACACAACCTCCACACTGCTCATGGAGAAGACAGGATGACAGCTTGTGCCTAATTTAGTGTCTCTCCCATTCCACACCCTGCATTCTCTCACATGTGCATTACATGCAAAAATCATGCACAGAAGCAAACTTCAGCCCAGAAACAATAAAGCCATTCATTTACATCAGTCAAGATCTTGAAGCCCATAACTTTATCAGGGTTTCCCAAAGAATGTTTATGTCTAGACAAGATCCCGGACAACTTGTTCTAGGTCACCCTCGTGGAGGAGGAGTTTGGATTAAATGAGCTCCAAAGGTCCCTTCCAACCTCAGCTATTTTGTAATTCTCCAATTTCTTTACTAGGAAACATCACGTCCCATCCAGCCTACCACTTAATTCCTATATTAAGTAGGGTGACACTTACCTGGCAGGCATCCACCTGCCCCTCTAGGTATCCTGCACACAGCATTCCAGGTGTTACCGCTCCGTGGTACACATGCCTCATATTACAAATCCCGATGCTTATAATTTTCACTTCCGCTTGTCGAAGTTGGTTAACACTATAGCCTATAAGGAAAACCAGCATTAGGGTGTGCACAGAGGGAGCACCTAAAACGCATGGAAATTACGAGTAACCAGACTTTCCTAACAGCTCTTCTGCCACTGCAGACAATAAGGAGATATACCCAAGGTCTCAAGAAGAAAAAATTTCTTTTCTCCTGAAGTGCTTTACTTGTCCCAAACAAAATCCTTTCTTCATCTTTCATCCTCACCAGATACTATTTAACATAATTGCTTATATCAGTGATGGATTTTTCTGTACATATTCCAGAGTTCAATTCCCTATTGTAGGCTACAAGATATGCCCTTGATGCCAGCGGAAAGAGCCACTCTGTGAATTGAAATGTGGCTCTGGACAACTACTCAGCACAGCAACAGCCTAACTCAAAACACGGCTTCTAGTCAAGTGGCTCTCGTATACCAAAGTCTCAATTCTTTAACACCGCTAATTTGAAATGAAGGTCATTCTCAAGTAATTTGAGGAGCTGAAGCCAGATGAGGACCCAAGAATGAATAACTGACCAAAACAGTTGTAATACATCTATGACTAACAAAGCTGGAGGGCAAAGAACTTCTATGAAAATTAAATCCAGAGAAAGAGGCCAGTGAGAACGGATGATCAAACAACAACAGAAAAGCTACTCTCATCCCTGCGTGACCAATCTGTACTTTTTTCCAGCTGCCAACTGAAAATCCCCACAAAGCAGTGAACAAAGTCAACGGGTACACCATTAGCTAATGCATCTATCAAACAAGGTCTGATCAACTCAAAATAAAGGAATAACAAAAATCCAACAGAAGAATTTTCCAGTAAGTATGTGGGGAGGGCATGGGAAGAAGAGAGACACTCACCATCATTGCTCAGAGCTCCCCAACCTGTGACAAAACAGGAGGCGTTGTCTGGGAAGTCATGGGATGCTTCGGGAAGACAAACGCTGTGCACATCGCTTGTGAACTTGATAGGTGAGGCCAGCTCCACAAGGGCCACGTCATCTTCATGGTTATGGAGGTGGTCATTGTATCCCTCATGAATTATAATGTTTCGGACAAATCTTTTCTGTTTTGGAGGTCTCAGCAGAGTCCCAAAGCTGGCAGTCCACCTCCGAGGGTCTGTTCCTCTGAAAGACATTGGTGGTTAAGTCACAGGGGAACAAGATTTCCCCAAAGAGTTCAGCTTTCCTATAGACCATTAAAATGCAACATGTCACCTAAGGAAGACAGCACAGTCAAACTGCATTATGCCTCAGCAGATGCAAGTGTCAGCAAGCCAAGTAAGGTCTTACTAGAGCACCCAACAACCCCAAAGCCTGCAGGGCCAAGAAGGCGCCGGGGCTTACCCTCTGAAGCAGTGGGCTGCAGTCAGCAGCCACGTAGTGCTGATCACTGACGCGCCGCAGCGATGGATCCCATCGAGCTGGATGCTGGCCTGCCAGGGCCATTCTCCGTCGTGTGCGAGCTGCCCACCAGCTATTCGCTCCACTCCTGAGAAGGTTGTCACCTGCCTCCTCAAACCGCAGCCTGCCAAAGACAGGGCAGCTCTGCCTTAGCTGTCATTCACATGCAAGGGCACCACAGTCTTGCTTCAAATAGAAACTACCATTAGACTCACAGAGCAAGCAGCACAGAAAGAGAGGAATAACAAGACTGCTGCCAGGAAGAGATCCTCTGCTTTGCCAGTGAGAAGCAGAGGGCCAGGAGCTGAGGCCCTCTCGGAGCAGCTGTGGTCCTCACACAAAGCTCACCAAAAGCAGCCCATTTACATGCCTTTAAGGAACCTATTTCCATAGCTAACATCAAAGCAACAGCTAAAAAAGTCTGACAGTCTGAAAGTCAGTATAACTCAAGAAAGCAAGAAGAGTCTTCCCTGGATCATGCATTATCCACTGCTTTAGCAAATTTTAAAAGTTATTTTTCAACTTTGATCTTAAACCTAGAAATCTGGTAACCACAGCACTTCTAGTACCATATCCCTAGACTAATTTTAAAGTGTTTGTACTTACAGTTGTTTAAAAGGTTTTCTCCCTTTTCCTTATTCAGCTCTGAAATGGCAAGCAAACAAAACACAGTGAGAATATCTTATGCTCCTACCTGAACCAGCACAGATACTCTTCCTGTAGCCAGCAAACACAAATGAAAATGGCTGGGATTGTTGTGTACAATGACAGGAGAATCACAGGAAAAGTGCGCTCTGATACAGAAGTTCAGGCAACCTTCCATCCATCGCTAAAAATATAAGGCCTAAGGACGTACTTTTCTTGCCTTAGCTCAGAGGTGAACAAGAGCAGATACTTGGCAAATAGGTCCAAATAACATGTATACATGCTGGGTCCTGTATCATATAAAAGGCATCATGTAAAAGCCTATATATATTTGCTCAGATTAAGCACAGCAAGGTGCTTAAAACAGTCTTCACAAGTTTTCAGTGCTGTGATTGACTGGAGCTAAATTGTAATGATACACGTTTCTTCCCAATAAAATCTCTCCCTGTCAGATTGTCATGGTAGACGATGACAGATGCTACCAGACAGGATCACTGCCCTGAGAAGCTCAACACTAGGCTAGGAACAGACTTGGTACAGCAACCTGTTCACACGAGGAAGGAAAACAGCAGGTGACAGGGAATCGAATGATCTCAGCTTTCTTTTTTTTTTTAAATGATGAAAACAGAAAGCAAAGTAATTGGTGAATCCACGATTTCAGAGCCAGGCCTTTTTCTGGTGGATATGGTGGGATGTGACCTGGCTCAAGGGAACTTGGTCCCTTCATGGTTAAGGAAGCTCATTGTGCCATGGTTCTTGGGCCATCAGCCAATAAGGCAACCTGACCTGTCCAAACTACCATTTTGAGACAGAAGAAAACAGCAGTGACACATGTTTGCATAATAAAGTGAAACTCATTACACCGAGGACAGCAAAGTATGAGGAACAAATTCCAAGCTAAAAACACAAACCTATGGCACTTGCCTGTGAGTCTAAGGGTAGACTGGTCAACTTCCAAGAACGTAGCGCTTGCTTGCAGCCCGTTGCGTAACACTCTGTTGATGTGACCCCAGGTTGCTGCTTCATTATCAGTTGAGGCAAATTTAAATACCAGAACAACATATGCAAGCACTCCGCCAGGATCCGGGCTGCAAACCAACATCAACAAAGTCAGTGGTGTCATCCTCTCTTTGCCCACTAATCCAATTTATTTTATTTTGCCTTGTCTGCCTTCCTCATATGATAACAGGTCTAGTCTGCACAGATGCACAGAATGAATAGCATAGCTGCATACAGAAAAACGATGACTACATATGCCAGTAGGTAGCAAAAAGTTTAGCTCATGGTGCGACAATAATCCAAGGCACCTTCTGGGAGCGGTCAAACAGTGCAGCTGAGGAGGAAATGTTCCATTTACCCCCACACAGCTCCCAGCCGGCAGCAAGAAGAGTGTGAAAAGGGTCAAACTCTCCAAAAAACACAGGTGCGCAGTAAGTCATCCAAAAGATCCAGTCTGGACACACAGAAATTAGTAAGTCATTTGACATTTCTTCCCAATCACATCAGTTGTTCATTTATGGGCTGGTTCTACTGAATTGTTGTTTGCTCCACGGCAACTGGAGACAAAACCCTCCTTAGCTCTTGGAGTTAGTAGAGCAAGCCACGATCATGCATTGTTAGTATAAAACACTATTAGTGTAAAACATTAATGGTCTACAGGAAGACCAAGCCAGGCCTGGGAGCAAATACAGCAGAGGTGCAGCTACACTGGCTCAGCAGTTAGTTTTCTCGGTTGTACAAAAAGATATCTGCAGCAAAACCAAGCCTGGAGAGTACACCATCTGGGCAACCAGAAGTTGTAAAGAGATTGGTTGAGGTAATTTCAACTAATGTGATGGGGAGCTTTCAGAAGACAAAGATAGCAATGGAAAATAAAGTCCATTAAACAAAGCAGGGAACGTCTCACTTCTAAAGAGCAGGAGACCCCAGAGGCAGTGCTGTGGAGGACATTTGCAGAAAGTAAGGCATTTTTTGCCTTAGGGCATTTTAGGGAAAAATATCCAACAGCAGAATCAATTCCAAACCAAAACTACTGAAAGAGGGGAGTGTTGGCTCTTATCACTGCATGACTACTAAACAGAGGAGAAACATTTGGAAAGCTGTCCCAATAGACCCTTATATCTATATGTTCCCGTGCCCCTCTTCCCCAGCCTGTATCCAGGTATCACGGGGAAGAGTCATCTATTCTTTCAGAATCCTCCACGCAGCGGATAAGGGTGGTCACGTCCTGCTGTACCCCATGCAGGAGGGTAAGCACCAGCCCCTACATCCACAGGAAGCCTGGCATAGACCAAGGAGCCAACTCAGGATCTCTCATGCCCATGACAACCAGAGCAGTGAAGGCTGGGATCAACTAGTAATTTGGTTACCGAAATAATCCACAGGGAATTACGATTTGGATGGATCAATTACAAGATGACCTCTGAAGATGATGGAGCCCTCTAATGTGAACACTGAAGCAGAGGGATTGACAGACAAGACTTAGTTGTACTGCTGTTAAAACTGAAACCACCAGGCAACCTGTGTGGTTGAGAAGTAGGGAGAATAGAGAAATTCTCATCTTTGCTTTTTCTTCACTTTCGTATTACTTACCTTATACTGACAACATGGGACCTGATATATCTTTTGCTCAAAAACGATGACTTAAATATTCTGGACATCTGTTTAAGGAAAAGAGCCTGTTAATAATGCATCTGTAATGTGTGCATGCCACCAGTACAAAATTTAGTCTTGTGAGAGTCTGAAATATAAGAAGCAGCCTTCAAATCTCTAATTTAACCCAGGCTATAGGAAGATCTCCACAGAAGACTGCAGAATTGGTATTCACCAAAAGCAGCAGCCAGGTGGGCAGCTTTTGCTATCCCTTTGCTCTCTGGGTGTCTGTTGCCCTGCAGGGCTGCTGGCACAGGCAGCACTTGTGCTTACTATCTGCTTGCAGACAGACCACAGGCCTCATTAACCCACTATGGCAAAACTTTAAGCTTCAGGTTGTGGGGTTCCCAGTGCAGAGAAGTGCTGCATCATCCCTCCACTTTTTGGTGCTGAACCAAAACATATTAACAGCACAAAGAAAGGTACACTTGCTAAATGAAAAACATGTTGCCAGGACTTTTTCCTCAATATTTTCTTCATGTGATACTTTCTCACCACACTTTTTTTTTTCCAGCTCTATGTTTTAGATTTTATATTGTGGAGGCTTTCTTCTGCACTACCTCAACTTTCCCACTGTCTGTTTTAAAAGAGAAGGAAAGCCACACAGCACTCACCCTGCCAGCAGTGCATATCAGACACTTCACCCACTTCTAGTTTAGACATTGCATGGGCTGCCCAGAATATCATAATCGAGAACATGGTGTGCCAGGCACTATTCCTCCACTGAGTATGTCCGTGTCTCTGCATTAACAAGTCCTACCTCACACAGCAGGGAGGCAATTACAGAAATGGTGGATTCAATCCCATGCAACTAATCACAGGTGAATGGCACCGCCGGGGAACATGGCCAGCTTCTCCAGTGCTTGATTTTCATCTTTTCCTCATGCTCCCAACCCTCTGACCCAGGGATGGCCCACTGGAACCACAGTCACAGGACTCCTCCCCCTGGATCAGGTAGAAACAGAGCGAGATCACAGCTTACCATAGATTCAATCTCTTCACTCAGGTGTCTGAACTGTTCGGTGGTTTGCCTCTGGTAGTGAGGTTCATAGTACACATTGGAGATGACGAAAGTTGCATTGTAATATCGATCCTGATCTACAGAAAAAGAAAAGGAAAGGAAAGATCACTATCCTCATTAGCTTGGACATGCACAGCACCCTGCAGAACATGGCCCAAGTCATCCTGCCAGGTTCTGGCTATACAAATCCAGGCAAGCTCAGAGCAGCCCTGCAGGGAAGGATGGCTCTGGGTCATCCTGTTGCTCCCCAGAGTTGTCTGGACCCACTGAGCCACCAAGTTAAGGTTAAGATCTGGCCTTGAAGTGGATGTTGGAGATGAGACCTGTAATGCAGAGTTAGCAGAAGGCAAAGCTGCAGCAGTAAATGCTAAAGCATATCCTGGCCATGGTTATCTGCTGCCCAGTAGTCTGTTGTATTCTTGCATCTCAGCAAACTGAGACAGCAGAGCAGTTGGTGCTGTCCTAACAGGAATGCACTTCAGATTCCCTCATCCGAGTATCTCAGAGCCTGGGAATGGGATGGCTTCATTCAAGGGTTCGTGAAGCTGGTATGCTGCCAACCAGGACAGATGTTTGGGTTCCAGGAAGCCCATTCCTCTCCTCTCTTTCTTGTCTGCAATCTCCTAGAGGTGACAGGTTCAGCCCTTGCAAAAAACCTGTCCAAACAGAGCTTGCTCCACATGGGCCAACTGCTAGACAGGTCCCTGGCTTACACAGAAGACTATTGACCAACCACCAGCACAGGCAGCAAGGAGGCAGAACGAAAAATCTACAAAGTCTTAATACTTAAAACATAATTTTCATGAAGTGAGGAATTCAGTTTTGTAGTCCTTTTACCTCCTGTATTTAAAACACGGGTTTTTAATACAATCTGGATACGTTTTCTCCTGTGGGATCTGTGCACAGTGGGTATATTTCATTTTTTCATAGCCAGACAGGACCACTTAGCCAGTGCAAAAGATATACAATGTCTTCTGACAGAATTTAAAAAGTACACTTACAATTGCACAAAAAATAGGCGATCAAGCCAATGACAAGGGTCAAACCCAATACCACTGATAAAATGATGATTGCTATTTTCCACAGCTCCATAGGCTTCATTGCTGTGCCCAGCTGGATCAATATCTGCATTGGAAGAAAAAAAAATGGAGAAATTCAACTTTGTCACAAACACAGTAGCAGGTGTTGAACAAAACTATACTGGTGCACTTTGCTTAGCCCTCTTAACACTGACCCACAGACTGGAAGGATCCTTGGGAGCTTGGAATCTGGACTGCTCAAAGAAGGGTCTCCTAGAACAGGATGCTCTAAGTTTTATCTGGTCAAGTTTGAATATCTCCAAGGACAAAGAACCCTCAGGTTCTCTAGGGCCATGGTCCAGCATTTGATCACCTCCATGGCAAGAACTTGAGCATTTATTCAGAACTTCCCTTGCATTCGCTTCTCTCCATTGCCTCTGAGAAAAGCCTAGAAGCAAGGCAGATCAATACTGCTACACAGAGGCAGTTTCTCCTAACAAAACAATACACAAACTTCTAGCGCAGCTCATTGCCCAAGCAGATACTTACACTGAAAGCAAGTCTAACATTTCATGACTAAGTAACTTCTGCACCAAAGATATTCTACACTACCAGAAATGCTATGCAAAACTGAGCTTGCAGTTGTTTTCAGTTAGCTTGAGTAGAAACATTTAGCAGTCTCCAATAGCACTTGGGTGTCACAGTATCAAAGCACACATTGCCTTATACATTATCCTGTTTCTTGACAGATGATCTGAAAAAAAAAGAAAAGAAAAAAGAAAAAAAAAAGGAGAGAAACTACTACAAGTGTGTAGCATGATATGGCAACAAGCATCAGACTTACTGACTTGCTAAAAGTCAGTAAAAGGAGTGTGAAAGGGTCAGGAAGTTGGTTTTAGAGTGGAATTGAATTTCCAAAGATGAGGCAGGAAGAGGTAGAACATGAACAGGCTGGTGCACCAGCTGCCTGACGGGCAGTGAAGATGAGGAGGTGAAATGTGAACTCAAAAGAGCAGGAGATAACGAAGCGGTTGGAGAGTGAGGGAGGTTTGGACACTGTCCGGAGAGCAGCAGGGCCAAGCAAAAGAAAAAGCTCATTTTTGCATAATGGGAGGACTAGCAGGCATCCTAGTCCTCTGCTTTAGAAGGGAAATAGGAAAGTTTTAATGCTCTCAAGCTGGGGGTGAGCTGGAAGGGAGAAGGTGAACAGGGCAACATTTGTGAGCATGGCAAGCACAGGTCACTGCCATAAAGGTAGCCAGGATCAAGTCTTCTGTAATGTGGACGAGGGACAAGGCTGGTTCCTCTCTTCCTGCTGTGCCTGCTCTGTTGGAAAAAGTTCTGTTCTGGCAATGCAGAGTTCAAGTTTTTCTCAAATCCAGTCATCTAGCGCCCACATTGGCTCCACTCTCCGATGGCAAGGAGGCTCTGCAAAGCCTTCTGAAGAGCAGTTTCAAACGCAGACTGCCTGAAATTTCTTAGGAAACTGCAGGTTGCAGTGAGCATATGACATGCAGATGCTGGAAGTGAACCGGTTCCATAGAGACCCTGACACAGACCCATCCATACATTATCCATGACCCCCGAGGCTTCAAAAAGATGCAGAGATGCAGACCAAGTAACCCAAAGACTTCTAAGACTTCCCTGCCTCCATTTCTTCACCACCTTGCAGTCTGTCTTGCATCCAAGTCCCACAGCTCCCAAGTTCTCTTCTCAACTGAAGTGCACCTCACATCTGAAGAGCATCAGAGCAGCATCACTCCTTTGCTCTCGGCACGGAGAGCAGCCCTGAGCGCATATGGCCACAGATACCAATGCAACCACTCTCATTTCATGACCACTGGCTTCTTTGAACTGGAGATGCAGCCTTACGCCTATGTAGCAAAAGCTTAAGACTAGCACTTGAAAAACAAATGCATGGTTGCCTGCAAGACTTGTGCTCTGGCAGGGCCTGTCCTGCTCTGCAGCCTCTCTCTGTTTCCTTTCACGGTGCTAAATGGGCAGGTAGCACGGACCCTTTTCGTCAGCATTTCACAACTGCCTGCTCTCCAAAGGCAGGACTGGGGGAAATGGATATGTTAGGAAGTGCTGAAGCACTGGGGGGAATGGAAACATGGGAGAAGAATCAAATATTTTCGCCATTTCTGAGGCCAATTTGGCTTTGAAAGGATTTAAAAAGACAGCTCAAAGGAAGTCTTCCCATATAGTTGTATAGGATCTGTTTGTATAAAATATTACACATACTTTCTACCTCTGCTCCCTTTATCAGATAGTCCTGGGAAACTCCAGTCTCATAAAGATCAGTACCAGAACAGGAAAAATCTCTCAGGGAGAGCAAGTGTGATGTCTCCAACAGTGTACGGTCACCTGTACGAATCCTTCAGCTGTGCTGCATCACCACAGGACCCACCTCACCAGTCCCCAATTTTCTGTTCGCTTCTTCATCAGACATGAGTCACCAGCCATGCAGAAGGCTTGGGTAAACTCTCCTGGTTTTAGGGGTACAGAGAAAGCTCAGTCTTTTGCTGCCGTTCCAGTACCTGGCTTGAGAACAGGGAAGAGATGGCCCTGTTTGACCACACAACAGCTATCCTTTAATCTCTGAAAAACAGTCTGAGGGCAGGTAATGCCAAGCATGTTGGTGTTAGAGCAGACAGCATCTCCATTAGCATGGAGACACTTTTCTGCACTTCTGTATGGATGTCAGCTCCAAAAACGTTGCTCATTGCTACAGCTCAAGCTCTTGTCCCAGGAGCTGTCCCGGCCTGTGGAAACACTCATGCTCCGTGCTTGATGATGAAGGCAGAAGCAGAGAGCATGAGACTCTCCTTGGCGTGGAGAGATGCATCCCTTCTTTCTCCTCAGGGCAAATGGGCACTGTTTAACAGAGAAGCATTTTTCCCCGGTAGACCCAAACACCCAATTTGCCTACAGATGCCTTCCAGATTTGGGTACTTTGTACAGCTTCATTCCTTGGTTCCCTATACTGCACACTTTGGCTTTTTTAAACAGAGCATGAGAGCTGACTCCAGTAAGCTGCCAATGCACTTTCAGTGGGGCAGACAAATTCAGGCAATGTCAATGCATCCATCCTCCAGCATGACACTCCTTGGAGGAAGAGGAGGAGACAAGCCTTCATTCCTCAAAAGCCTTAACAAGCCACCAGAAGCCACTCTGCAGCAGGAGACTTTGAAGACTGAGTCTGCTCTGCTCAGAAAATGACCTCTTCCCAGTTGGTGCCTGGAGGCTGTCAAGCTGCAATGAGTGAGCAAAAGCTTCGAGAAAAGTTTTACTTGGATGCAAAACTGGTCCCTGATCACCAAAGTTATTCCATGTCGAAAAAAAACACAAAAACAAAAACAAAAAACCCCACACATTATTGACAATTTTCACTTATGCAGGAAATCTCAAAAATAAGTGAAATACAGCAAGAAAGCAGGGTTAATACTTATTGGTGCACTAGGGAGAAAATTCACATTGAAATTTGAATACAGAAAGAGTTGTCTGGGTTTCTTTGTGAAACCAAAACGGATTCTGAAAGACTCTCAAATTGGGTTTCTGATCAAGCCAAAGCAAACTCTGTTCCTTCCATGCAGAAGGTTTACCCCCAGTCAAAAAGATCAGCAGAACACACGGCGGGTAAGTGGCTCTTCCTCTCTCACCCTGTACCAAACTCCCTAAAGTCCTTCCCAACAGTCCTTCATCGTCCTTCCCAATGTGAGCCCTTCAAGCACAGCTCCCACCACTGTTGGACAGGATTTGATTCACTACATTGAACTTCTTCCCACTTCCCTTAGTTGGGCTTTTCTACTGCACAATGCCAAAAGGCTCAATGACGACTGTACCAGGAAACAGATATGTTTCTGAAATGGCTGTACAGACAGGGGAGAAGTGAAACTACATCATCTGTGCCCTGGAAAAGAGGGCTAATAACTGCATACACCACAAACCATCACCTTGTTCAATTTCACAAATCTGCCCTTACTCTTTGACTTTTTAAGTTAAACCTTATAGAAACTCTGACCTAGACTTGCTAGCACTTTTAGAAAAACTGTGTTTTTTGGCACCAACTATCTGCTGGAAGCGTTTTGCTAAGCTCCGCACAGGGTTCTTCAGGCTCCAAGTCATGTTCCATTTCCTATCCTAACATCAATTCAGGCATATCTTTACAAATACTCTTCCTAAGAAGGAGACCTATTCGTGAGACAAGTAAATAATCTGCTAGGTTGACAATTTGAAAATGCAGACTATGTCCCTGAAGCTACCAATGCAGGCAGGGTGGCTGGGAATGGCAGTAATCTGGCTAACCTCGGGAGTCCCAGAGCAAAAACACAGGGTTGCACGAGCAAGACACAGCTTTGCCTCCCATCGCTGTCACAAGCATTACAAGCATTCCCACCAACCCGACACTTCTCCTCTGCTCTGCCAGCACATCCACTGCTGGCCCCCTACAAACGAGACAACTCTCCTCTGCTTCTTTGGGTGCTGGTTTGTGGAAACATGGCAAGACCTTCCTTTGGACAGGTCAGTTAGATACGAGGCTCAGTCACGCAGCTGTTGACGTCTCCCAAAGCAATTCTGACAAGACAAAAGCCGTGAACGCCGAAGGGATCTGCGAGGACAACAATGCGCATGTTCCCCTATGTGTCATCCTGAATCAACTCCATCTCCCCACACCCTTAAACATCCCAAAGACACCCCTCCGCAGCGAGATAATATATCACTAAGGCATTTGCCACTCACAAACCGAGCTCCTCCCCTTACCAGCCCAACTCGGAGGCCTTCCTGCTTCCCAGGAGCTTACTTTAGCTGTCCAAAGCTGACAGCTCCCAATTCTGTTCCTGTGACTTGCAGCAAGATTCAAGGGCGGTGTTCAGCCTATTAACCCAGCCCTCGTGGGTAACTAGATTTCCACACTGCCAAAATGCTGCTTCGTGCAGCTGTCCTTGATTATATGACCACCTTTGCAAACAGAATAAAGCCCTTCTCACTCCTTGACAGTCTGTTTTGCATAGAGCTTTTTATGGAGGTTGATCACTGGGACAGAGCGGGCATCTTATTCTAAATCAAGAA